GGGGGGGGAGAGGGGGGGAGGGACCTGTCAGGAATATCAGAAAATTACGTTGTTTAATAGTTTTCAATTTAAAGAGCATGGAATTAGCTGATTAAAGAGAACATTTAAATACTTGGAACACAGTGTTTGCTTTAATAATTCATAAAAGATTGTGTACAAACGAATAGATGGGAAAGCTGCTTAATTTACTATTTCTTTTCTTCGCCTACCAATATTTAAGATTTAACTTAACATCCATTGAAAAATTAAAATGCTTTCACTGTATGTCAGTTTTATTTGTGAAGAACTCTGCTCCATGTTCTGTGATCAACATGTTTTTATAAATCAGTGTTAGAGCAGTACAACAGTTAAATGAAGAAAGTCTTCTCTTCTGTGGCTTTCCAAAGCTTGAGATGCTCCTGTGCATTGTCAATTACCACTCCCTCCCCCGCCCCTCCAAAAAAAAAGTGGCAACCCAACCAGAGTACATTTCTGTTGAAGTGAAAGTGGATTTTTGCTAGTTTACCTGAAGGCCCACACGTAAAAAAAATACATGCAGGATGGTATTCGCTCTCTGAAGTCTATCCTGTTATACAGAGCGCTCGACCACTGCTTCAGCGGAGGAGAGAGCATCTAGCAATCAACTCTGCAGCAGGTACGAATACAGGTATAAAGGGCTCTGCTCTTGGGACTATTCTAGAACTTAAGGTACAGGATCCCAGGACCAGGGATCTGCAAATGCAGTTCTCCATAGACAACTCTAGTTTCAACAGACCCTTTAGATGGGATACTGAAAGGGTGTCAGTGATAAGAAATGGAAGCACACTCACTTCATGATCATGGTTGCGCAGACCGATACTCATGGATCGACTAGCCCTAGATATAGCTGCTGTCATTGCATACAAATTAATAGAGACATCTGCCACTCTCTTCAGAACCAGCTGCTCATCCACTATAGTCTAGAGAAGATAAAAGAAGTTTAGCAGCTTCTATTATAGCATTTTAAAACCACAATTACAATGCAATGTCCATCCAGACACAATGTCGTACATTTCAAACCAGAATTTAGGTTTGTGCCACTGATTTATTTCTTTTGGCACAACCAGTCAAGCCACTGACACAAACTTTTACACCTGAATTTTCTTTTCCACATTTATTTATTATCCCTTTCTATTTGGCAGTAAATGGCCCGTAACTGTCATGCAAGACATGGACTTTCACACTGTCTTAAGGGCAACAGGGACTCTGTCAATTTCTCCCACCTGTTAGCAACTGCTAATTGCAGAGATGACAGCAACTTCAGCAGAGGTGAAGTGACTGTAGAATCTCCATAGATTCTCTCTAATACATTAGATGGGACTGTATTGTATAGGAGGAATACTAGCTCATCATGAGAGGCAAACCACTGTCTTTTCAACATGAAGATCCTATTAAAAAAAACTGATTACTTTGCCAAACCTCCTTAGCAAGCCTTCCACTGTAGTTCCAAAATAATAGACGTTTTCTTCAAGTTTCTTGCTGCTTTCCTGTAATTGAAAAAAATAAAAGGTCACCTACTGTTTAGTAGATATTTTAAATACACGTACTGGATGTTCTATAAGAAATTAGATTAACCTGCAACACTGCAGATTTAGTCAAACAATATACATTGTAGAAAATTGGAAGGACAAGCTGCTACTCCCCTCACTGTTCAGCCAGTGATGTAAAATCCTGACCCCCAAGAGTGGGAAAGCCAAACTGCTGTGAGTAATCAGTAATTTAGGTATTCCTGAAGATGTAGCACAACTGGTCATTTCGGGATTTCAGAACTGTGCTTTTAATTTTAAAAGGCTGAATTTTAGTGAAGTATTGTGTGAGGTTAATTTCCACTTTAAAGCACTTCCGTGTGGCTGTACATCAAAGGGGAAAGGAGAAGGAAGAGTGTACGATAAGCAACAAACAGATTATATGGAAAACACATGTTCCAGCCCGAATCACCCACTTCTACCGAAGTCAACAAGCACATCATCAGGCCCAAATATGACAAATGCCACCAAATTTAATCAGTTCCTTTCCAAATGGCAAGGTTTGGTTTTGATAACTTTTCTTATTAGATGAATGTTTTGGATAAAGGAAGATGTTGGTAAAGACAACACGTTTGCACTTCAGTTATGATGTTAAAGATCAAATGGAACATGTCTGAAATTCTCAGTGTCTTTCAGCAAAAACCAGTCTTGGAACTACTACTGTTTCTTCAGTAAAAACAAGCACCTGGCAGGCTGTCTTCATACAGCAAAGAAATAGGTTACTACAGGTTGGACCTCCCTGGTCCAGCACCCTCGGGAATCTGACTAGTCCAGGATCAGGGATTTTACTGGACCAAGGGAAATCCTTTCTGGCCCTCCTGCTGCTGGATCTAGCCTCTGCCCTGCAACCCCACTGAGCTTCCCAGCTTCCCCTGCACAGCCCAGCTGGCTCGCACACGCTGGGGTTCCCACTCCACCTCCACAGCCCGGCTAGGCTGTGTGCTGGCCTTCCCAGCTCCCCCAGCCCAGGTGAGTCGCACGCCAGGCTTTCCAGTTCTCACCCTCTGTCCCCCTCACATTGTGCTGGGCTCCTAGGCCCACTAGTCCCTGCAGCAGGTTGGGAGACTGATCCTGGACCAGGGATGTTGCCGGACTACAGAGTTCCGGTTTAGAGAGGTGCAACCTGTAATCCAATTAACAATACTGTGCAGGACACTATCGAAAAAAGAACCATTACCCTTATGAAGACACGTTATAGTCACAAGAGATTTGGGTCATTTTGGTCTTTTCCAAGATGCGCATTTAAAAAGAGATAGAACCCTGTTTTGAAAAGATCTTTTGCTTCTGATTTCTGAAGTGACTTTCTCAAATAGCTAGGGTGGAAAAAACCCTGCCACTGTCCCAAAAGAGATGAGCCACTGTTGTGAACGTAATAGTAGTTGGATGCAGCTTCCCTCGGCCAAGCAACACTGAGGCTTTGCTCAGCTAGTATGCGCTAGTTTGTTATTTGAGCCCATTCCACAGGCAATAATTTTACTTCTTCCACGGGGACACGTGTAGCACAGCTGCTGTGCATTAAAATGTCCCAGTGTTACCTGAGAACATCTTGACATTCGCAATGTTACAATCAGGAACTGAAAATGCTGCATACACTGAGGTAGCCCTGTGACAGGGTGAGCTCACAGAACCACTTGGGGGGGATTCCCGGGGCGCTGACAAGGCCACTGCCATCCTCCTTTTTGCTCTCTGGGGATTCTCGCCACCCTGTCCTACTGGGCCAGCTCCCTGGTCTCCCCCAGCCAAGGCACAGAGCTGGCCTCTCGGAGAAACAATGCAGACACTGAATCTTTTCAGGTCCAAGGAAAATGCAGTTTTGGGCCCAGCTTCCCAGGATACCACTCCCCAAATAGGATCAAACCCTAATGAAACGGGAAGGAGGACGTGTACACACTGATTGCTCCCCCAGGTAATAATTATTCACAGTGGGTTTGATAGTACCGGTAAGTGAAAGTGATTTTATTAAGTACATGCAGTAGGATTTAAGCAGTAATAAGTGAAAACAGGCAGAGCAAAGTAGATTACAAAGTTAAAATAACAGAAAATGCCTAGCTAACTCCAACACTGAAACCTCAGTACACAAACTTGTTACAAAACTCACCCCAAAACGGTTTCCTTTCTAGCAAAGCCTTCCAAACCAGGGCTGTTCCTCACCTTGGGGTCTTTGGTTCCTTCCCTTGGGTCTGCCAGCCAAAGACAAGAGACTCCCACTTTCCTATTGTTTGCATGGGAAGTCACCTGGTCAGCTGGGGTGGACATTTGACTTCCCCAGACCAACCACTTAAGTGAGGACAAAAGGCTATTTGCATAGGATTGCCCAGACACTGAGGCCTCCCTGGATGACTTTCATTCACACTTTTAAAACCCATAAAATATTCCCTACTCCATATGCCTGATTTTACATACAAGAATGACACAGACACCAAAATAAGATCAACAGATTCCGTGGATTGTGACATGAAGACTGAGAGGTCACATGAAGCAATTTGTCCAAAGCACTTTTGAGTTCAGTGTATCCGTAAGTCCATTTCATAAAGCATGCGGGGGCAGAAGGGGAGAGGTCCGTCATGAGCATCATTTAGTTATCTGTAGTGAAATTGTTAGACCAACGCTGCATGCTACTTGAATTCTTAACAATCAGGTTTTTCTGGTGCTACCTCAAAAATAATCAATTCTCTCAACTCCTGGCACCAAGCGGGAGGAAAATCCTGAACACAGCATATTCAGGGTAGCAACGTGAAGTGCAACTTGTAGCACTATGTTATGATTTTTACAGTGCAAAGAACAAAATAAAACCTCATGGCTTGAGCCTCTTGGAGAAAAGACTCATAACGGATACCTCCCAGAATGAAGCCAGCACTCAAGAGCTTGCTATAGCAATAAATAAATAAATAAATAAATAAATAAAAAATAAAAAAATTACATTTTAAAGTGAACATCTAGTTGCACTTCTGGCTCCACAGAGTACCGACCTTGGGGATAATGTTGCATTGGTAAGATCCCCTGTGTGAATGGAATAGCATGAGCAGATTCAGTGTGTCTGAGTGCCATTAACATCTGTCCAAAAATATTACCTAGAACACCAAAGTATCCCAAGCACAATAAAATCACTTCACTATTTTACTATGATTTTTGAATCTTAATTATAGATGAAAAAAAACAAACCCCTATATTTTGCCATCCTACAGCTATCAAGTCATATGTGTTCCACTGCACTAGATCAGCCATGTATAAGCCAATGCTTATTATTATGCATATAACATTAACACTTGTCTAGGACCAAACAATTATTAAATAAAAGGAGAGAAGTTAGAGAATGGAAAGGAGGGTACCAATAAGCCCAGGAAAAAATGAGCAACCCTTGGGAAGAGCAAGGAGCCAGATGAGCAAGGAAAAGGAAAGTGTTTCAATTGCAACGAAGATTTGGTGTTACCCTCCACCAGATTTTCCTTCCTTCAAAAGGATGTCATTTTTCTATAGACTCCCAATTATTACAACTATACACACTTCAAAAGGGGGGGGGGGGGGGGGAGGGATTCCTTACATTTCCCCAAAAGCCATTTATGAAGTCTAAAAGCCCATATTTCTGTAGGAATGTTAGCTGGTCGGCAAAAAGATCACTAATTGTATTTTTGTCAAACAAATTGGGAGACTGTATTGTGTTTGGCAACTTGCGCTATGAATGGCCACAGGAAACCAACTTCGGCAAACAATTCATTGCAAAGAACGCAAAATTAACGATAGCTAAGTTTCCACTGATCCACTTGTTTTAGGAACTTACATAAAAAGTTTTTTAAACTTACTGTCTTTCTACACCAATAAGCATAAAACATGCAACTTCCTGCTTAGTTTAAAACCTGGCTATGCCCTTTTCATTTAGTTGGCCTATGAATACACTTAAAAACAAAGTCCACACTTGAATTTCTGCAGGATCAGGGCCTAAGGCTGACACAAAAACAGAGAAACAAGTTAGTAGGATGGAAATCCAGAATGCAGATCTCATCCAAAGACATTGCTTCCCTGGCTCCCCTTAAGTTCAACAAAACCGGTCAAGCAGCTCATCATTAGGTTTGTTTGATAGGTAATATTCAGTACTTACGTCTAGGCTGGGATGTGCCACTCCACCTTTACCAATCAGTCCTAAATCCACTTTCCTGCCCATGCGGTCATGGAATTTGTTCATAAATATCTCCATTGCAACGCTGATATTTCCCTTCTTCATTTCCCTGAAATGTTAAAGGACGCTGTACACAGAAGGCTGTAGACCCTGCTCTCTCTCATACTCAAGAAATGAATCAGCAGTACAATGGGCAAAGAGAAAACCAATTTAAAAACATACCAGAGCTCACTGAACAAACTAAACACTGGCATGGATTTTACCAGTCACCCAAAACCTTTAATTAGTTTGTATCAGCCTCATCGCTTGCAAACCAAACAAGTTTCTGGTTCTTCCCCTTAATCTTAATACACAAGCCATTCCTTCATTACCTTTTTGAATGTGGATTTTCTGTTGTGCCCTGATTTATCTCTTGAGTTACAGTCAAAGATGCACCAAGTCATTTAGAGAAATTCTAGCAAACAGAAGACCCCTGAAGATGCTTGCAACAGAATATGGGGATGCTGGGTAAATTTTTCAAAAGCACTCCAATGACTCCAGTGTCAGGAGAGGAGTAAAAGTAGATGGGAGAAAGTGGACCACACAAGCTCCCTCCTTCTCAGAAGCAGCAGCTGTAGCAGAAATTTATCTTTCTTGCTCAACTTCTTGTCTTCCCCTTCCTCCATCTACTGCCAACAGAAAGGGAGGGATGGGGAGCAGAGCTCAGAATGAAAGCTCTTTGGAGCACATAGTAGGCATAGCCACAAGGGGTCTAGTTGGTTTTGGTACCGATGTGGTTTCACGAACGTAAAAGCAATATGTACCACTGCAGCTTATTCTACTAGTTAAGCTACCAAACTGCATCAGTGCAAGTCACGTTATACACTGCTGCAGGGTGTATATATGGGGTTTTGCACTGAAGCAGTTAGTGGCTTAGTTATGTTGCTACAAAACCCTCCACTGGCAACAAGCCCCGCATTATGCGGTGTTTGGGAAATGCAAGCTTATTGCTGGCACTACTGCAACACAAATGACAAAACAGTGAACTAAAAATAGTGAGGAGCACGACAGTGGTGTAAGTTTTTGGGCTATAGAAAGAGGGAGATCTCAAACCACTGTAATAGCCATAAAGTACTGAATGATTAGCCAAAACTTTGCCTCTTTCTTTTTGTAAGTCTTTATACCTTACAGTGCAGTCTGGCCAGTAGGAGTACAAAAGTGTTCAAAATATGCAACATGCTGTGAAGCATAATGAAGATACCAGCACTAAACTACAAAAGGCTAGTATATGCTTTAAGTAGGATAGAGTCTTTTTTCCTATAAAAATCCAGAAATAAAATCCAGAAATAAAGCTACCCAGCATGGCTTGTATATAAGAATAACCATTAATTTCTGGACAAAAGTTACATGAGTAACTTGATGATTAAAAGTACTAAAAAAGACAGACTTACTCTAGTTCATCCACAAACTAGAAAGACACAGATTCAAATCAGTGTTTTAAAGTTGTAAAATAAAACTGAGTTGCCTAAAATTCCTAAACAGATAAAAAGTTGCCTAAAGAAGCAGTAAGAGTTGAAATGCCTTTTACAAAATTTTGAAAGGTCTTGAAATATTCTAAGTATTGCAGGCAATATCTCTGCTCTAACCTACTATTAAATGGATAATTTATTGAATATCAATTGTGATTAACTTAGAGATAAGTGAATGTTACTAGCAAGAAGAAAGAACTTACTTAATTTTTCCAGTTAAGATTTTGCCTGCATACTGCATACCTGTCAAAGCAATATACATTCGCAGAATTTCATTTGTTCCCTGTAAGAGAAATAATAACTTAGTATCAGATGGCCTGAAATTTCATAAATCCAGATATGCTATGCATATAGTCTCTTAAATAGTAGTTTTTAAATATATAGTTTTTAATGTTTTTACATGTATGGCATGATTTTTTTCCCCCACATTACTTTTAAGAATTCAAATTCATTTTAGGGTGAGCCTCTATTTGGTGGTCTATCCAAGACAAATAACTGACTCACTATTGCTGACAAACAAAGCAGTGTAAAAGAATCAGTAACGCATGAATTAAAACATGGGAATTAGATTCTTAGTTTTCAACAGAAGTTCTTTAGCTAACATACATTTAGCTAACATACCTTATTCACTCATCTCTTGCATTTTTTTAATGTACACATTTCATGCTACTCTAGTTTATAGTAGCCACAAGTAATCCACAATATTCACCGTACTCTGCCAGTTATGTTAGATAGATTTTTTCAGCTTTCAAGGAGGATTACTTCACTTCATCTTAACCATGGCAGCAAGACTCTAAATGGCCTCCGCAAGGATTGAACTCATAACCCTGGGTTTAGAAGGCCAATACTCAAACCACTGAGCTATGCTTCCTCAGCATAGTTAATGAACAGCAGCAAAAGTTAATGAATTTTGGAGCCTCTCTCTCTTTGAAGCATTTAGCTATTTTTGGTCCATCGAGATTCAAGATCAACTGTTCAAATACATCCCAAATGTCTATGGTGTTCAGTGACTGCTTTGCCCTTCCTCCTTGCTCAGGAAAGTAAATAGTGCAGATTTCAACCAAAGTAAACAATATGGGTGGAACCTCTGTGGTCCAAGACTCCGATCCAGCAACATCCAGGATCCGGATGTTACTGGAACAGACAGCCCCAGCAGCAAAGGCTGCTGGCAGCGGAGACTGGAGCCTGTTGCAGAGCCCGCAAGGCATGAGAGCCCGAGGGGCCTCCAGCCTTCACAGGGCCCTGTAGCCGACAGAGCTTCTGAAGCCATGGAGCCCAGCAAGGAAACTGGCATCTTCCCTCCCCCCCCTTCCTGACTTCCCCTGGTCTGGTCAGATCCCAAGGGTGCCAGATGGGGGATGTCCAACCTGTACCACTAAACATCAGGAATATCTGTTCTACAATATAAATGTGAGAGCGCACTAAAAATCTACCTCGCTTTGCTCCCACAGATTTAGTTTCATTTGATACTCTGGAAGTCCATTTCAATTCAAATCCAATTTCCTCCTCCACAGTTGCATTTTCAGAAACTAATTTCGAACTGAAATGAACATACAAAGTTATCCTGCACTAGATGCATTTGCACATTGCATTCAAATTGGAAAATCATTTCTTCTAGCCATGCCTCAAAGCTTGTAGCTGCTACTGCTGATGTGAAGGAGCTGTATGTTATCACTGCCACAACATATTAGGAGTTTTCCTTGAAGGAAGCTGCAGATGAATAGTAATGCTGAAATAAACACAAGTGTTCTGTCCTTGCCTAAAGTAGAAACATACTTTCTTATCTGATAGTGCTTGTTCTAGCCCCCACAATAGAATACATTGGAAAAAGTTTACCAAAAGAACGTAAAGAAGAAAACAAATATTTTAAGCTGGTCAAGTAGCTAATTTTATTCCAAGTAATCATGCCTTCCAATTAGGAAAACAATAATTTAGGAGGAATGATTCTGAGAGTTAAAAGCCTATCTACTATTCTGAACATCTTTAGAACACAAAAAGCTGTTGGCAGCATAAAATAAGGCTGTATCTCATGCTGTGTAGTATATAAAAGTCCTATTGCGCTTAATTTAGCCCTCACCAGACACACACTACTGTTGAGTAATAGGGAAATGAGTATTGGGTTAATTAATTCACACCAGTTACCTTTCACTAGGTATATTACAGTTTAACTGGTTAATCGATAGACATTAGCTCTGGTTAAACTCTTCTGCCCTGCTGGTGCACACTGGCTCTCAGCAGCTGGCCCCATAGCGGGGCTGTCTTCTCTCCTTGGGGCAGCCTGTATTCTGAACCCCTCATCCCCAGCCCTACCCCAGAGCAAGGATTTAAATGAAAAAAATATTGAGTTAAGGACCCAAACAACGCTGAGTAAATCTTCTAGTTAGTATTTATTAACACTTTTGAAAGCAGAGGGAGGACAAAGAACATGGTATGCAATGTGTGTGCCCAATAAGAAGCTTTAAATTGCTTAACTACAATCCTTTCTGAAGCAGGAAGGTAACAGAAATGCTGATGGGCTTCAAACCACTTCTGTATTAGCAGCTATTGTTCTAACTAGGGATGTTAGCATATAGTCCTTTAAACAATTAAGTGATAAGCCAAATCTTATCAGTTAATTCAAATGACAACACTCCCTCCCCCTTGCTGCCTTTGAATCAGAAACAGCAAGGAAGAGAGGTGGGAGCAGCCGGCTCCCAGGCATGCTGGTTCCCGCAGAGCGGCCTGCCCTCCCACTATTCCCGCAACAGGACTGAGCCACTGACTTTCAAAATCCTTTAAATGCAGAGCCACTTATCGGTTAATTGTGTAACTAACAACGTTTGTTGGCTACACAATTACCAACTTACACACTTCCTAAAATCACTACTGCTCTTGCTAATAAAGGATCAGAAGGACAAGCTTTAGAAGGAATGCAGCTGGAAGGGTACAAATTAAGAATATAGGTTTGAGAACAGTGTTCCTTTATGCTTAACTGGGTTGCACAATACCCGACACAAGAAATGGGAAAAACATGCGTTACTTAAAATTTATCCTCTAATCTACTCCTTTCTACTCTTAGATTATATGGGACTACATAAAAAGGTATTTGCCAAATAGGTACTTTTGTTCTCTAATTAAAAAAGGAAATCCTTTCCAACTAAAACGGACTAAACATTTTTAATTTTTCTTGGCTGACAATCAAATATCCCTGCTGCTCCACCTCTCTAAAAGCTTCAGAGGGGCAGCCAAGTTAGACTGTAACTGGAAAAACTTAAACAAATAGTCTAGCAGCACCTTAAAGACTAACAAAACATGTAGATGGTATCATGAGCTTTCCGAAGTGGGTTGTGCCCACAAAAACTCAGGATACCATCTACATGTTTTGTTAGTCTTTAAGGTGCTGCTAGACTATTGGTTGTTTAAGTTTTTCCACCTTTCCAAAGTTACTCTGCTCAATTCACAGAAGATCATTTTATACCATTGATTTCTGCTTACTTTTCTGTATCTCAGTTTTGAAATTCTGACCATTTTTATTTGTTGACTTGTGAGGAAAAATGAGCTTTCTTCAGATAGTCCACAAACATGTAACAGCACAAGGATGCTGTGCATTAATTAGAATAGACATTTGCCAGTCAACAGGACTATCACATTATCTTGCTTTAATAAGGAAAGCTTTAAAATTTATTGTAACTACCTCCAGATACCTACTTGGCAAATAGAAGCAGAACAAGGAATGAACCTGATATTGAAGAGTTACATGCCAAAGAGCTAATTATTGTTCTAACAGATGTAGACAAAAACCAGAAACAAGGACTGATGGTGATGGTAAAATGTACTGGAGATAAATACTAAGCTGGTGCCAAATGCCTGATGAATTAATGATAGGCCTGATCCCAATGGCTACGAATCCAGAGGAAAGGGGATTTACTCAGTAAGAGCAACTGTTCTGCAAGGGCAGGTAAACACCTCTAGGCCAATTTCTCTTGCTAAGATGGGAAAGAATGAGGCGGCTTTTCCTTCTCTTCAGACTTCTGTGGTCAGCTGGCAAAATAGTCAGCTGACCCAGATGACTCAGTAAGGCTTTTATAAAACATCATTAACAAGGTCGGTGTATTGTCTTTATCTGGTAACAAGGGAGGAATTTCACCAAGTATCATGATTACCAAAGATGACTACACGGAAATCAAACTTTTTAAAACAGATATAAATGTAAAGTTTTTAGATTAAATTGACCTGACTAAGACTTCCTATAAATCTGTTTGGAAAGTCCTCCCATATTTGGGATAACCAGAAAATAATCCTTCAATCTTCCAAATCCATCCTTTACTTTGCAACACCAACTTTCAGTTGCTCCGTATTTTTGTTTCACTCACTCAGTTGTGGAGCTCACAGATTTAGTTAATGCAGCCAAATTTTAAAAAAATCAAATGTAGGTGTGATAGAGCTAGGTGAATGCCAGTGACCTGACAACATAGGACAACTTCAGTTGTCAGAGTGGTCTGGGGCCAGAAGTTTTGAATTAAAAATACAACAAAGGGCTTGTGGCTCCCAGCCTCGCTTCTACCATATTGCTTGGCAGCCGCCCGTGGTTACTCTGGCTATTTAAAAGTCTCAGGATTTTGGTCCCTGCCGGGTAGTGCCTCCACCATGACCCATTTAAATAGTATCCTGCTACCTAAGCCACGACCCACATGGAAATTCAGAGGTATGGGCAGCAGGATATAAATAGAAAGTGGTCAGATGCAGTCTGCAGGCCAGATCAAACTGTTAAACAGGCCAGGTCTGGCCCCCAGGCTGCATCTTGCCCAGCTCTGCTTTAGGTGCACACAAATGTTAGTTCCACTGTGTGCCCAAAAAGAAGCAATCTGTTCTCTATCCCCTGCATGACACTCTTTGTGGAAAACCAGATAACTCCAACATTATTCCAATTATTGCAGCAGAAAACTTGTAGCTCCAAATGAAGGCCGTTAACATGATTCATTGTCCATTCTGAAAGAATGTTGTACAGAACTTGTTTCATTTAGTTTCAAATTTATGCCAAGAATACTTGGAAGGTAAAGTAGTTCTGATTAATAGTAGGAGAGACGTGTAATCATACTTGCCTCAAAAATCAAAAGGATTCTGCTGTCCCGGAGATAACGTTCGTAGGGGTAGTCTTTCATATAGCCAAGGCCTCCAAGAATTTGTAAAGCTTCACTTACACAAATCCAAGCGCCTTCAGAACTAAATACCTGCCAAAAGCACAGTAATTTTAATTGTTGCTAGAAACTAGATCACGTCATTGTTCTAGCCTAGATCAAAAAGAAGGATAAGACTAAGAATGAATTAGTAAGATAAACAACTTCCAAAACATATATCTTGCGTGCCTTTCATCCCAGGCATTTTAAATTTATCTGAGATTGCTCTGGTTATGTTACACAAGGAAGTGCACTGGCCGATAAAAATTAATGTTTAAATGGAACAGCCACTCGAAAGACCACATCACAAAAGCAAGCTGATAATTCTCTATTAGCATAGAGAAACACAAGCCATAAGAATTACTTTCAGCCTATTTTAGAGATTAATCTATACTAGAGGACTGATGCTGCCTTAAGAAAATGGCTACTTTTCTTAAGATTAGGAAGATAACATACATTTCTATAGCACCTTCCATTCAAAATCTCTAGTTACTACAGCAGGTTACTGCCTAAAAATCTCAAATGTAGTCTTTCAATCTTTTTCAAAAAGGAGGATCCGCTTTGTGGCACGCTTCTTTTCCCTTCGGTCACCCTTCTGAGCTCCTTGGGGATTCAGATCCATGAACTGGGAGAGAACAGAGCAGGCCACTTAATAGCTAAAATCTTCCCAAATTCACAATGTCGAGAAGCAAGTTACTTTGGACTGAGCACGTAACAACATAGGTTCACTTCTAGGAAGAGGAAAACCTCTAGTTCTCAGGGGCCTTGTGAAAGATAATTTAGGAAACGCTATATAGATTATTCATCAAAATCGTGAATTGTCTCCTTTCACATACGGACAGGCCCAATTCCCTCCTTCACCCCTAGCCTAAGGAGAAGCGGCATTCAGCATGTTTTCCAGCTTCTGAATCAATTACATGGAAAACCAGGACAGTGGTTTCTTACCAGTCACATTTTAACCACGTGGGGAGGTCCCTTCCTGGAGAAACATCTCTATACTGTTCTCTTTGACACTGTCACAATGAGGGTCTCTCGCAATGGGAGAGGAGTCTTTAGACACCCCCAAATTCCACACCTGCTGTCTATTTGCATCCCTAAATACGGAACATGAACAACCAGGATCCTCAGAACAATTCCCTTTGCCCACCGGCAACATTTCAATGTTCTGTAATTCAGTCTGGCAGTGGAACAGTACTAACCCACTCTGTGTAATGTCAAATTTGAGAGGCACTGAGGACATTTTTATTTGGCTATGTAAAAATACAGATGTTCCTGGAAATTCAGAGGGCATTAAAGTAATTGTACTACTTGTATGAGAGCGTTTTGTATGAAGACAACAGCTTAGATCAGGCCCTGCAGGGCTACCAAAATGGAGCAAAATGGAAAGTGGTGTCCGAATGCCTGAGACAAGAACTGTATTACACAGAGGTTTTAGTTCAAGTGTCATAATAGACTCAGACTTTGAGGTCAGAAGGGACCATTTTGATCATCTAGTCTGACCCCCTGCACAGTGCAGGCCACAGAATCTCACCCACCCCCTCCTAGAATAATCCTCTCACCTATCTCTCAGATATTGAAGCCTTCAAATAATTTGAAGACCCCAAGATGCAGAGAATCCTCCAGCTGTGATCTGTGCCCCATGCTACAGAGGAAGGCGAAAAACCTCCAGGGCCTCTGCCAATCTACCCTGGAGGAAAATTCCTTCCCGACCCCAAATATGGCGATCAGCTAAACCCTGAGCATGTGGGCAACACTCACCAGCCAGACACCCAGAAAAGTTCTCTATAGAAACTCCTATCATCCCTCCATTGACCTATTTACCTCTGATAATGAATGGTCAATTAGTTACCAAGATCATGTTATCTCATCAAACTATCCTCTTCATAAACCCATCTACATAAGAACATAACATAAGAACGTAAGAACTGCCGTACTGGGTCAGACCAAAGGTCCATCTAGCCCAGTATCCTGTCTACCGACAGTGGCCAGCACCAGGTGCCCAGGAGAGGATGGACTGAAGACAATGATCAAGCAATTTGTCTCCTGCCCTCCCTCTCCAGCCTCTGACAAACAGAGGCCAAGGACACCATTTTATCCCCTGGCTAATAGCCTTTTATGGACCTAACCTCCATGAAATTATCTAGCTTCTCTTTAAACTCTATTATAGTCCTAGCCTTCACAGCCTCCTCTGGCAAGGAGTTCCACAGGTTGACTACACGCTGTGTGAAGAAGAACTTTCTTTTATTAGTTTTAAACCTGCTACCCATTAATTTCATTTGGTGTCCTCTAGTTCTTCTATTATGGGAACTAATAAATAACTTTTCTTTATCAGCCCTCTCCACACCACTCATGATTTTATAGACCTCTATCATATCCCCCCTCAGTCTCCTTTTTTCTAAACTGAAAAGTCCCAGTCTCTTTAGCCTCTCCTCATATGGGACCCGTTCCAAATCCCTAATCATTTTAGTTGCCCTTTTCTGAACCCTTTCCAAGGCCAAAATATCTTTTTTGAGGTGAGGAGACCACATCTGTACACAGTATTCAAGATGTGGGCGTACCATAGTTTTATACAGGGGCAGTAAGATATTCTGGGTCTTATTTTCTATCCCTTTCCTAATAATTCCTAGCATCCTATTTGCCTTTTTAACCGCCGCTGCACACTGAATCTAGTTTAATCTTGAAGCCCGATAGATCTTTTAAGCCTGGTATTTTTCAATAAATTGATTACCTTAACCATAGCTGCCTCCACTGAACAATCAGGCACGCCTGGCCTATCCATCATTCCTGCCGTGAGGTAAGCCATGCTTTCCATTACATATGCTTTCTGAGCCATAAGGGCAAATTTCTCCTGCCAAACAGAAAACATACATTAACCAGGCACACAGATCGTTTCAGAGTCAGCTCAGCAGTCATATAATTTAGTGCGTATCTAAATGAAGCTTTCACACTTATTACATCACTAAGTACTAAATGCTATTTATAATACTGAATATTAATATTTTAAAACAAAAAACTTGCAAGTTTTAAGTTTGGTACATTAATACTTCCATACATTCCAAACATCAGCCTCACAAGCTTCTATACTAAATTTATGCAGACTGAATACCAGCAATCCAGCAACAGGTTTTTTTTTAAATCAGTAGCCACCACAAATCCCTCTCCCACCCCTGATTCAACAAAAATCATGAAAACAGGTGGAGAGAATCTTCTAACATAGGTTTCCAGTTCTCGGATTACCTGAATTAATCCAAAATCACTCAGTTTCTTATTGAACTGTTTTCTTGTACATGCATACTCTGCTGTCATTTCTTAAAAAAAAAAAAAAAAACATAACACATCAATGAGTGGAATCTTTTTTAAAAAAGGTATTAATTTATTAAAACGAACTTCCAATAATTACATGTTCCCTGAATATGTAATCTCAGCTGTATGTAAATTATGCATCATGTCTAAAGAGCATAGACTTAATTATATATTTATTTTCATTTATAAATACGTTGACCACCAAATCTCAATGCCAGATTTACAACTCAGAATTCATTAGTGCAAAGCAGTTGCCTGAAAGTTTCCTGTAACATACAGAACATGCCATAAGGAAAGGGGAAGTTGTGAGAACATAATCTGTAATCTGTTGTGCTCTAAACCTGAGTGGACAGAGGATGCATGGTACAAAAGAAAAAACTAAAAATTTGCAAATAAAACTCTGCTTCTAAAAAGTTAGAATAAAAATCCTAATTTAAGAAGCAAAGAATGGTAGGAGCAATGAGATTTTTAAAAGCCTTATTATAGGAGAGAAATCCCATTAGCAGTTCTTTTATACCCCTCTATTGGGGGATTACATTAATATGTCTGTTTTCATTTAAGGCATTATAAAAATGAAAACACTCTGTGGTATTTTTTCCAATTCCAGAACCATTTACTGTTTATGAAATAGCTTCTGAGCAAGTAGTGACGTTCATTCAGTAATATTATTCTTACTTGAATTTACCAGTTGAAAGATACTTACTTTTCTTAAATTTAAAGAGATGTACATCATCTAAGGATTTGTTATGTAACACCTTTAGCCAGATCCCTACAGATGCAAGCCTTCAGATCTGAGACTACGCATAGGCTCCTGTATGATAAGTTTAAATTTCTATCTAACTAGTACGTAGGTTTTTATGCCATGCAATATCTGAGGATCTTTCAGTAGTTCATTAAGCAACACGACTACCTTGAGTTCACTAGATAACAGAGTAGAACTGGTAAAAAAATTCCTCAGGGAAACAGCTGTGTCAGAATATACTTATTTGACAGAAGAGAAATATTCCGCAGGAACATGTTGATTCTATCAAAACTTTCAATGGAAATGAAGCAGGCAGGCCAGGTTGCCTACCTGGTTTCCTGCCTGCTTGGCTCCACTAAAGCCCACCACTACCTAGGATTCTGGAAAGACAGATATCCCGGAGAGCATATTTTGATGAGAAAATGACAAAAGGGTCCGGCAACGGGAACATGCGTTACCCCACATAAAGTATTGTAGAAATTCAATTATGTGGGGGGAAAAAAAAAAAAAACAAAAAAAAAAACCCACACGTTTTCGGAGCTTTTCATTACAACTGGAGAAAAAAAACTCAATATTTTTTGAGACACAGAAGTTCCGAACTGCAGCCAGCACCAATGACGACTTAAGTCATGATTCTCAAAGCAAATATCACACAAAGCTAAAATCTCCTGTTTGATGGTATCTTCTTATGAAGCAGTAGCTAAGTTTGAATACAAGTACTAGGAAGTGACTGAAGATGTCATTTGAGATACTATCAAAGGGCTTGTAAGCAAATGGTGGTGGAGGTACTTAATACTGTTCCCCAGGCACAGGAATCGTATTTACCAGTACAGACCAGTGGTGCGCAACCTTTTTGCACTTGTGACCCCTGGGAAAATTGTGGCTGAGAAAAAAAAAAGTGTGGCCCCTTTAAATGCCGCTCCGCTCGCCTCGAGCCAGGAAAAGAAAACACTGGCTGGCCTGAACCACAGCACTGCGACCTTCCTCCTCTCCCGCGGCCCCCCCACCCAGAAGACAGCCCACTGGTTACACACCACTGGCATAGACAATTGTTATAGTATAGGGAAATTTTGAGATCTTTCAAAAACCAGGGAGCGGTAACTGTTGATGGAAGGTGATTTTAATAGCTACCATTGTATGTAAAATTTGAGTATGGAATTACTTCACAATGTTCTTTTTAAGTCCAAATATTAAGGCAGCTTTCATTTTATATATATAAATATAGATATAGATATATAGATACACACACACACACACACACACACACACTTCCAACGTCTGGCTGCTTTTAAAAGTAACGTAACATAGCTTTCAAAGGATGCTCTACTTCTAAAGTCATATCTGAAATGAATGCAGTTACTACAATGTGTCTTTGAAAGAGGTGTCATGTGTCTTTTTACGGGATGTTAAATTTTCTTTTGTAATGCAAGGATTGATGATTTCATTCCTCCCAGAAACGCAGTAAGCTTCATTTTACCTACCTATCAGTTTCTTAATCATTCCTGCAGATGCACTACCCATGCTAAATCTTCCACTGTTTAAGATATTCATAGCCACCTACAATAAAGAAATACAGGCTTTTATTCAATAAGGTACACTTTCAGTAAAATGTGCTCCATTTCTGTAAAATGCCTTAACTTTAAAGTTGGTAGATACCAGTGCACCTCCAAACTTCATTACGTTCCTCTGCAGAAAGTGTACCAAAAATGAACAAGTTACCTGCAGCAATACTTCAAAACAGAACTATTCAGAAAGAACATCAGATGAAAGACATCTACAGTGACAACATAAAAAAAAAACCAAACAAACAAAAAACAGGAAACCTAGTTATCAGAAGCTTGATGTTATTTTTTAGTCCTTGGGAATTTCATTGGGAATCCAGCAAAGGTGCTTTAAAGTCATGGCTAACAACAGAACAGGAATGAACAGAAAAGTGTCTCTGTAGAACACCTACAACTTAGTGCATTACAATTTCACAGTAATCTAAACTCTCATGAAACTAAATGACCAAAAATAAATAAATAAATAAATCTATCAAGAGTAGTAAGATAACACTGAATTATTGGAATGATATATCTATACATGGCTCACAATTGCTGGTTAACAAGCAAGGGAGCACAAAGCACAGACAGGCCTTGAAACCTGGGCTTGAGAAGCATTTGCAGAAGTTTCATGAAATGCAAAAATCTTGTTTTTCCATAGATTTTCACTATTTAACACTCACATGACAATTTAACTGCTTAAACCAGGGGTGTCCAAACTTTTTTCAAAGAGGGCCAGATTTGATGAAGTAAACATGCGTGAGGGCCGACCATTTTGCCTGACATTCTTTGAACCATTAAAATTAAATGCAAATTAACTATTTTATGCAAAGTTTATTGCAAACGGCATACTTTTCATTTCGTCACATGGATGACAAATCTAAACAGGTGTTAAATCACTCTGCCTTTCATATCTGAAGGCCAGATGAAAAAAAAATCCAGGAAGCTGAAATATATGTCAGGAACATTGTAAAGTACATTACATATTATTGGTAATAAAGGTTGTCTGTCAACTTTTAAGTTAAAAAAATATGAACAGGAACATAACACCAAGTATACATGTTGTGTCCAAATATATTTATAACTGATTTAGACCAACTGACATTAACTGAGATTTTACAATGTATTCATCTCAATACATATGGATTCGTTGGGGGCCATAAAAGATAGATATTGCCAAATTACCTGGGGGGCCGTATTAAACCGGAACATGGGCCGCAATTGGCCCCCGGGCCGGACTTTGGACATGCCTGGCTTAAACCTTAGCTACTGACAAAGTCTGATATTACTGAGGAAAGGTCAAAGCAACTTGAAAACCAGCTTTGATGCTATCAAACAGCCAAAATCCTCACTGCAGAAAAAAATACTAATTTTTAGAAAAAATAAGCCAGTTATATGTACTGAACGTTGATAAATGGACATAAAAACCTAATTGTTATTAAAAGGGAGGGAACTGAAATTTGGAACACTGTGTTCAAAATTAGCACACACATTTTGTTAAAATGTTTTGGGTCACTGAAGAGATAATATGGGTGTTTGCCAAACAAAGTAAGTAAAGGTCACAGCTCATCAAGCTGAAACCATTACAATTTCAGGGTTTTGAAGGCTATACTAAACACGTCCATGAACAAGAAGATTTTAACTTCATGTTTCCATTTCTCCAGATTTCACTGCTGGACTAAAACTGATACATTTAGCCTACAGGGATGATAATCCTGCAGTTAAATGCTTTAACGCATCGGTTCAGATTAAGGACTTCTACATACAAACATTAAGTTTGCAGCAAGCTGGGGTGAGACCCTGCACTAGGCTGCCATGGTCATAGCTTATGTGTATACTAGTACTTTTGCCAGTGTAACACTTGTCACCTAGAGGTGTGGGAACCCCTCCTCTCCCAATGACAAATAACACTGACAGAAGTGCCAACGTGGACAACACTATTTCAGTGGAGAGGCTCTTCCATTGACAGAAGCTATTGTCATTCACAGGGATAACTGGCTGAGGTTCCATGTTGCTTTAAACTTTCCTCACTAATATCTGATACCCTTCCCACAAACTTATCAAGTTCAGTCTTGAAGCCCATTAAGTTATTTGCCTTTGGAAGTCTGCTCCAAAACTTTACTTTATAAGAGTTAGAAACTGTCCTCTCAATTTCAAGCCTCAACTTGTTAATGGCCAGTTATCTAAGTGTGGGAACACATGGACTCCTGATTTTTGTAGATGTCCAGTCACCACTGCTATGCAGTTTATGAACACCAAAGTAGCAAGTGAGAGATTGAACTGATAATTAGACTCATTTGCTAGCCATCTGCAAAACATGCAATGGCTGTGTTGTATTGATGCACAGAAGTAAGTGTCCTTTAACTCAGAGTACCAGTCCTCCTGCTCCATGTAGTAACTGAGCCTAAGATAGCCATGTAGAATTTTTTTTACTTCACAAATTTGTTCAATTTTCAGGACTATTTCAGATGTAAGAGACAACCTTTTGCGTTAGGGATCAGAAAGAAAGGGGAAAGGCTTCAGGCAGGGTCCATAGAAGGAAGCCCCAACAGAACCTCTACAGTCCCTGCTTGAAGAAGCAACTTGACCACCTACTGAAAAAGGTACTTGTGAAAGTGATTCCTGAAAAGGGACATGGAAAAGAGACAGGAAGGAAGGGCAGAAATGAACTAGATGCTATGGCCCAGTTCTATAGTGTAAGATCACTCAACGAATGTTATGTGGACCAGGCACTTAGGAAGTAAAATAATTTGTAAACAAAATGTAGAAAATGGATGGAACGATAATCCATGTTAAGTTACCATGTTAAGGCCATGTCTAGTTACCACACTGGAGATCAATCTTCTGGCACTAGATTTAGCAAATCTAGCAAGGACCTGCTAAATCTAATGCTGAGGGCACCCTTGGTATTCCTCAATTTGCTCCTATCAACCTCTGGCCATGGAGACAGCACCAAGCTCGGCTTAAGGTATGTTGACTCCAGCTACATTATTTACATAGCTGGAGTTGCATACCTTAAGCTGACCTTCCAGGTGTAGTACAGACCTGGCCTTAGAGTCTCTGCCTCTACTAGGCTTTGAAACTAACAACCCCCAGGGAGACCCTGAGCCTGAGGAGGGTTTAAGTCTTTCCTTCAGTACCAATGAATGGGACAGAGGAGTTGCAGACATTTCTGACATGCCCTGTGCCAAGGCTGAGATAGATGGGGTGCAAGCTGTGTGAGATGAGTCTGATGGGGAAGAGGGTGTGTCTGTGAAGTGCTGCCTCCCAGTGCAGCATCTGAGCTTACTGCTCTATCATTTTTTAAGCAGGATTTAAATCTGACAAAATGTAACGTGTCACCAATGCAGGATTCTCCCAAAAGTTTCCGACAGGCTGGGTGTGGCTCACTGACCATCACAGATTTCGGCATATATGGTATGGCAGGACTTACAATCTGATGAGCACAGCATTGTTTCAGTACAGGAATAAGATGAAAACTAGTCCCAAAAGACTTAAGATTCAAATCTGACAGAAACTAGCTAAAACTTAACAAATTACTTCCTAGTGACAATAGCATATACAAGGGATGCTTATGACAGCAAGTCTGAGATCCCACCAACTCTCACCGGTGGTGGAAAACCGCAACGGAGGAGAGTTGGGGTGATTCCTTCCTCTTACACCAGCATACAATGGCATTGGAGACAGGCGCTTGATCTGTCCAGTTAAGTAATGCTGAGGAATAACGTTTTCTGACAACTGTGCACTAGGTGCACATACACCTGCAGTGGAATAGACATGTGCAAGAATTAAAAGAACATCATTTGTTTTTATACCCAATTCTTAGTGATAATTTAGGGTAAATATTGTTTTATTGGAGAAGGTCCAGAGAAGAGCAACAAGAATGATTAAAGGTCTAGAGAACATGACCTATGAAGGAAGACAAAGAATTGGGCTTGTTTAGTTTGGAAAAGAGAAGATTGAGGGGGGACGTGATAGCAGTTTTCAGGTATCTAAAAGGGTGTCACAAGGAGGAAGGAGAAAAATTGTTCTTTCTGGCCTCTGAGAATAGAGCAAGAAGCCGTGGGCTTAAACTGCAGCAAGGGAGGTTTAGGTTGGACATTAGGAAAAAGTTCCTAACTGTCAGGGTGGTTACACACTGGAATAAATTGCCTAGGGAGGTTGTGGAATCTTCATCTGTGGAGATATTTAAGAGTAGGTAGATAAATGTCTATCAGGGATGGTCTAGACAGTACTGGAGGGCAGGGGACTGGACTCTATGACCTCTCGAGGTCCCTTCCAGTCCTAGTAGTCTATGATTCTATGTGAATATTCATTACATTTACGCATCAGACTTCAGTTCAGAAAGCTGATGAGCTGATACATTACTTGACACAAAAAAGGGTAGTTAGTTTGAGAATGTTTGAACTTTGTTTCATAAACATAAGAGAAAGGAATATTTTGCTAAGATCAGGATAAGTCCAAATCTTTAAATAAGGTTTACCAAAACCATCTGTAATGCTTGAAAGTTCTCTGTGATAAATATATGCCTATGGCAGTGAATTTAACAAGACAGGTAAGCAATGCATTTACTTATATTAGGATGTATTTAGTATTATCACAGTGTCCTTTGTGAATTACGCAGACAAGTCATTATTTTTCATATGTCTCTATTCAGTTTCTGATCAAAGTTTTCAGTATTTCCCCACTGAAATAAAGCTCAGGTTTGTATATTACCAGACAGACCCTAAATATCTTTTTAAATACAGACAATTGCTATATCCTGAACAAAGGATCACTTTCATATTCAACCTTCATTTCAAGTGTAATTTAAATATATCTCCTGAACAAATGAAAAAACTTACTTCAAGGTAGTTCTAATTTTTTGATCACCTGTTCCAGCACAATCAAAAAAATTTTCCAGTATTTTCTCTGCTCCCCTTGAAAACTACCTTGGTTTCTGGCATCTGAACTAACTGACTGATAAACTAAATACAAGAATTCAATTACTTGACCTGCCCTTTTCTGTAAATAATTTGCCCTTACTATCTCTTAAGAGTCCCTTTTGCCACCTTTATTGATTTCATGCTCTTTATGTACTTAAACATCCTATTTACGTTAATCTCTTTTCCAATCTTCTCATTCTCTACCTGTCCTTGTGTTCCCCCCACTTTCAAAACAACTTCATTTTCAGTCTTCGCTGCTCTCATGTACCTGAAATTACTCTTTCCTGGGCTTCATTTTTAACCTCTCTTACTCTTTGCAGTTTGTTAATCCAGATGATTTACAGACTCCTGACATATTTTTGGGTGGCTGTTATAAAATGCAGCCTTTGGGTATAGGCTACTCCATATCTTCACTTTTCCATTTTCTCTATTGATTATCCAATGAACTCTTACACAATATTTCTACCTTTCTCCACCCCCAATCATTTTTCTGTTGACATTTAGCATCTTTATTTCTCTGGAGATGGGTGTAATTTAAACACTAAGATTACTTTCACTGTAGCTTAATCCTTAACTCTTATCACTGCATTCCATTTATGAAAATTCAAGAGCTGATTCTGGTTCTAATCTTTTCTTTTCTATAGAAAGGCTTCTTTCTGTAAATGTTAAATAAGGAAGCAGCCTGTCTCATGCTCACATATAAATACCCAGTTTTATGTTTTCACCCAGTTCATGCTTGGGTCTCTTAGCAGTGGCTCTCTGCCTTTCATATGGGTAGAAGCCTTTGTGATGATTAGCTGATGAGGAGCCACCTTATGTCCTCTGGCAGTTCCTGCTCTCCCCACTCCAACCAGCTCTCTTTCTGCCAGCTTTGTTTTCCTTTTCTTGTTTCTTTCCCCTCCCTACATCATCCTACTTGGTATTTTTGTGGCACTTCCCCACTCTCCTTCGTCCCTCCTCAGCTGACAGCTACATGTGGTTTAGCAGGGGAGTCTCCATTGACTACTTTGAAGGACTGGATCAGTACACTTCTTCAGTAATGCTAAGCGTCAAAGAAAGGCGCAAAATATAATTTTGTAGCTGAAGGCTGCTGCCTTGCACTTACATCCCTTGGCACGTAAGCTCTGCCTGAGGCAGGTTGGATGACTGAGGGGGTAGCTACAAGAGCAAGGATGGAGGATGGGCAAATTTCAAAGTGCCGCTACAGCCTCACTCACTGGTGCACATTCACTTTGGGGAAGACATGCACAGTTGTTCAATTTTCTCCAACGCTGCTGCTATCTGTTCTGTATCCCCCATCCCAGTTAATGAAATTTGCAACACTTGTTCTTTTCAAACCGTTTTAGTCATCTTGGATGGAAACAGTGAAGCACCATCTAATGAAATGGCAATAGTGGAAGCTGGTTTGTTACATCCACTATAGCACTTAAGAAAGGAAGTGACCATGAGAACAGAGAACATGACATGGCACAAGAAACCTGCTGTATACAAAAGAGCAATTCTGTCCTCTAATCTTTTTCACTTTCAGTGATTTAAGACAAGCAAAATGCAGGACAATGTAGCACTTTAAAGACTATCACTGATTTAAGACAGCGTTTCTCAAAGTGGTCCATGGAGCCATTCTGAGAAACCTGCTAACTGGCCTCTCCCATTTGTTTATTTACCAGCTCTGCAGCCACAGAGCCACGTGGTTCCAATTGGCTCCGGTTCACCATTTGCAGCCAAGAGGAGCCGCAGGAAGTGGCATGAGCCGGGCCGCTGCTTCTTGTGGCTCCCCTTGGCTACAAACAGTGAACTGGAGCCAATGGGGCAATGGTAAACAAACGGGAGCAGCCAGTTAGCAGGTTTCTCAGAGTGGATCTGCGGACCACTTTGAGAAACAAGAGAGTAACAAATGTGTTTGTCCTTTTAAAGTGGTGCCAAACAACAAATTCTTTTCCCCAAAGACATCTTTGGGGGATGTTTAAATACAGTATTAAATTATTCTTCACAACTCACCTTAAATCCCCCTCCTACTTCTCCAATAACGTTCTCTACAGGCACTTTTGTGTTTTCAAAATGCACTTCACAGGCTGAAATACAAATAGTGTTCAATTATTTCAAAAACCTTTTCACTGAGAGATACTATTAAAAGATAAAGCAACGTTCAGAATTTAACTTAACCTTTCTATACTAGGAGTTGGACTATTCCCAATCCAACACAACAGAATTTAATATACTTTGTCAAAGAAGCTAATGGGGAGAAAGCTCAGAGTAGGCATTTTATTTATGTAATGTTAAAAAGGTATGTCAAAATATCAAATCTCTAATGTGTACAGCTCTAGTGGGATGAACTACATTCAAGCCTGGAACCAGATGAGAGACTGAAAGAACATAGATAACAATGATTGATAGGGAAGCATAAGAGCTACCAATCAACAGAACAACTAAGAGAAACCAGCTCCCATGGCAGCTGTACCATGGTAATGATGCTTATTATTGCATAATCTCAGTTTAGCACACCAAGGGGAATTTCCATGGCAAGATGAATGTGTCAGGTGTTTAGAAATGGATGACAGCAGATGAGAAGGATAATTAGTTAATGATGATTTGTAAAAGTTCATTTTGAACTGTCCTGGCATGCAACTGAGAAGAATGTCTAAAAAACAGGAACCCAACTCAAACCCCACCCCATCAAGTTAGAATGTAGTGCAATATCCAACCAGATTTGATTTGCTTGGGGATTCCAATACATGCATGAAACACACGTCTATGAAAAAATTGAATGCAAACTCTTCTTACTATTAGATCCTCGAATGCCCAGTTTATCTTCTGGCTTTCCACTGGTAACTCCACCAAAGGCTCTTTCAACAATGAAGGCAGTAATTTTGTCTGTTTTTACACCATCTTTAACAACCTCAGTCCTTGCAAACACAGTGAAAATGTCTGCAAGGCCACCATTTGATATCCAAATCTGGGGGAGGAAGTGGGAAGAACAAAAAGTAATTGTGTGCACGCTGCGGTAGGTACAATGCTTTATTATTTCACAACAGGAGCGATCAGGCTTTGAGACTATGACAAGACTATACTTCCAAACAGAGCAGACCAGAGGATAACAACTTCTTAAAACATGTGTTTTCCCTAACACTTTTGCCCTAGGAACAAGCTTTGTGAAAGCCGATTGGCAACTGGTGTACAGGAAGTCCTCACCATTCACTGTTTCGGTATCTGCAGCGTGCTGCACTGCACCAGCCCAAGCACATGACACAGCGTGATGACACTTTCAGTGCATTCTAACAGAACTGTACAGTAACAAGAAACGTCACCAGGAATATGACACAGTGAAACATAACCATAGATATAAATACCATGAGAATCACAATTCATCACTATTGTACATCGTCACTGCAAGAAACTAGAAGTGGGTAGAAAAGCGTGGCTGTTTACTGTTGGAAACACCCCACATTTCCCGTATTCACGGATTTCACCATACACAGTGATCTCAAGAACATATTCCCCACGAATGGTGAGGGCTTCCTGTACACTGTAGTGTCCTCAGGAGAAAGAGCAAATCACAGGTACTGGAGCGCCATCTGGATTGCTAGGGCAACAACAGGGAGGTGCAAAGTGACTGCCAACTTAAACCCCAGGTCCGGAGTGGGAGATGCGGGTCTCCACCCAACAATGGTGATGGATATAAAGCACAGGTGGGGAACCTTTTTTGGATCAAGGGCCACTGATCCATAGAAAAAAAAAATCAGTTGGGGGCCCACACACAAGTGAGAAGCAAAAAAACCAACCCAACAAACCCTCACTGATGTGGCTCCCAACTGAGAAGCAGACAGACTCCCCACATTCCCCTCATACGCCAGAGCCTGGGAGGCCCAGGCTAGTAGATTGTGTGCGCTCCAGCCCCACGGGGGAAGTGGAAAAGGCTGGAGTGCCAGATCAGGCTCCCCGATGCTATGGGGAGCCCCAAGCCTTGGGGGCTGGATCCAGGACTTAGGTTCCCCACCCCTAATATAAAATCTGAAATGTTCAGTGAACGCCCTCTAGGGGGCTGAGAGGGTCAAATTAATCCTGAAACCATGACTCCAGGTTCAAGCCCCTGGCTCCATTTAAGAATGATCTGCAATGGATAAAAAGCCTGTTCTGAATCAGGCAGAACAGGGACTTACATTTGGGTCTTCTGCATGTCAGGTCAGTTCCCTAACAAGCAAAATTTTCATACATCAAAAACTTGATTGAAACCAATGTGTTCCACTAAATGCATTGTGACTTTGATGAAATAATATACATAAATGTATTCAAGTGTCCTGAGCAGCTTTACTTCCAAGTCTGCGTTTAAAGGAAAAATTAAGTATTCAACAAAACCTTAAGCAGAGAAGGGAGAGAACTGGAAAAAAGAGTCAGGCTTCATCCTCACCTGAGTGCTCACAGTGAGGGACAGCTTCTTATCCCCATGGAATAAAGCAGGAAACAGGATGGGGAAATGCAGAGAAGAGAGAGAACATTCACACAGCGAGAGCTTCCTCATCTTTTTTACCAAGGGTTATTTTCTGAGAAATAATTCCTTTTGGCCTCAAAACTAAATGAACTGTATTTTTGACATCATCCTCGACTAACTTGGGATCCTCAGACGTCAGATGAAACTGACAAGTTAAGTTCTCGTTTGGCAAGACGATCAGCATTGCTTCACGAAGTAAGGATGCTTTCTATAAAACTCACACCAGAAATAAATATTTCAGTTCATCACTCCATGGATAAATACCTTTGAGCCATTTAGTAAAAAGCTTTTCCCATCTTCACTCATGGTAGCTCTGGTCTGGATGGATGCTGCATCACTTCCACTAGAAGCCAAAATAGCAGTAAAAATGTGCTTAGTTTCCAACAATATAAGGGATAGAGATATAGTCCCAAAATTTCAAACTGATGCCTAAAAAGTTCAGTGTCTAAATAAAGGTGCAACTTTCTAAATCCAAAGGCTGCTGAAGAAATATATCTTCAACCGTAGTCCTCTGAAGAGAGCTTTATCTGGAGTTGCTCTTATTTTATATTGCATGGTACCATGCAATATTGGAAACAGGTAGAATGTTATAGAAATTAAACTCCCGAGAAGCAACTTTGCTTTGTTACATTTTTTAAGTACTTGAATGTAGAAGGGGGGGGAAAAAAACCAACAGTCTCAACACATAGCTGGTTTGAAGCACAGAAGCAACTCATCATAAGTCACAGCTATATTGTTGCACATCCTGAAAGAAAGCAATGCACAACAGAAAGGAAAAGTGGAATAGTTGGCAGGCCTCACAAAATGAATATCGGTGTACTAGGGATGTAACAGTGTAGTCGATTTAACTGATAAGCAAAAGGTTACTGGTTAATGCTAACCCACACCCCACATTACCAGTACATTTTTTAGCAGATTGGCCAGCAGACTGGCTTAGTACTGACTTGTGCTGGGACTGGGATCAAATCCCCCACTATGGCTCTGCATTTAAAGTGTATTAGGAGCCAGACAGGAAAGCAGCCACGCTCACTTCCAGCTCACCCCAGGTCTGGGTGCTCGGTCCCCTCCTCACTCAGACAGTGGCAGCTGCCAGCC